CTCACCTCGTCGTCTTTCCAGATGAGACAAGAGCTTGATGAACAAAATAACTAAGGCGGAGTTTTTGAAACAGATTATGAGTAAGCACACAACAACCATCAAACGAAACGAGAAAGTGAATTTCATTCATTTTTGGTCAAGTTCAGGCAACCAAAAAAGCATAGATTCAAGAGAATCAATAAATCTTAAATCTTGAATCATCATATCCAACAGGACAAGATTTTCAAATATCTTCGAAGATCTTAGTCTAACTATTCATAGTCAGAAATTGCGTCGGTCGCAAAAAGTCGAAGCGAGACTCGAGACTCCATCGGTGATTGTTTGCTTTGGTCAATGACGATGGTTTAATAATTTTTTTTTTAATAAAGTAAACTATTGTGTATATCTCTAATTTTAAAAAACCTGGTCTATAATTTTAATTTATGTTTTTTTGTTGGCCTATTTTCATAAATTTTTTTATTTTTTATCTAGTTGGTGTATATCACTAATTTTTAAAAAATCTTGTCTATAATTTTAATTTATATTTTTGTTGGCCTATTTTCATAATTTTTCCTATGTTTTTATCTACTTGGTGTCCACATAATCTTATACAGTGGAGAGAAAACCCAAATGGATCCAGACGTCACTGTCACGAACTCGTGTTTTTTTTTTCAGACAAGAAAATGGAAAACTCGCTGTCCCCTTCAATGATTTCATGGTTCTATCGTCTACATCAAACCAATCCTCTAGCCCCAGAAGAAACACGAAAGTGTTGTTGATATAGAAGAAAGCGGCGAGTTTTAAGCGAGAAGAATCTCTGATTCTTGAAATGGAGAAACCGCCGAGATGTGTTCGGTGGGGGTACGAGGTTAATACCTCTTCTGATGACTGCATCGACGCGATTAACTCCTATTATCAACAGGTTCTTCTTCGATTGTCCTTCTCTAGTTACAGACGTCATGAAATTGATAGGAAATGAACATATCCGATTGGTAACTTACAAGAGGCTTACAGGGTTTACGATTGTCCATACGAATTTGTGTTTCTGTTTCAAAGCGATTGGGGTTTCGCTATGGCTAATAGTTTCATAAGTAGGAGTTTCAATTGTGATTCCTTAATAGAATTTATGACCACGGTTTGATCATGTTCATGAGTCTTATACGGTTTGGCTCTTTATGTAGCTGAATTTGGGGGTTTCTAATCATGGGTAGCTTCTGTTGTGTTTAAAGTTTTCATCTTTGTGATTCTTGTTCATGAAGGTTCTTAGTTTTGGGAGGAATAGGAAAGTGATTCTCCAAGCACCACTCCATGACAAAGATTGTGTTTTGGGCAACATTTTAGCTGCTTATTACCTTTCTTCATCTGCTCCTTCGAGAGCCAATTTCTACATTGAAGCTGCTAATTCCAATCTCGTGAGTCTCTTTATATTCATTACCTTGTAGTTCTTATTCTACGTTGGGTTTGGGGGAAATTCCGGAGGTTAATTCGTTGGCTGCAGGAACAATCTACACCTTATGAGAAAGCGGTTTTCGAGGTTATTAGTTACCATATGTCTGAGGACAGGGATGACGACTTGGCTTTTGAAATGCACACCGAGGTTGGTTCTGCACTTTCATTGTTATTTTACCCAAAATATTATTCTAGAGTCTAGTTTTATCTTTGTGAATCTGGCATCAATACAACGATTATGGTTCAGAACATTAAGTTTTGTGGCTTTCTGCTGATTCTCAGGTCCTAAGTACATATGCATATATATTCTGAAACTTGCTGAAGTTAGTTTGTTATGTCATTGAGTCCCTTGTTTGAATCTAAATTGTGGTTTGCAGTTACTAAAAAGATTTCCAAAGGATTTGGCCTCTCTGAAGAGAGCACAGTTTTTATGTTTCTACATGGGTCAACCTGCTCCTTTTTTGGGTCTTGTTCAGCAGGTACTTTACATCCTATCGAAATGATGGTCTCTGAATGATTCATTGTCTCTAAGGGTATTAAAGTTTATTGCATCTGCTTAATATTGTAGGTTCTACCTGCGAATCAAGAAGAAAGTTACATACACGGTATACTTGCATTCCCATTGTTAGAACTTGGTCGAATGGAAGAAGCGGGGGTTGCTTCCAGAAAAGGCTATGAGATAAACAAAGACGACGCCTGGGCACATCACTGTGTGAGTTTCTCAAACAGTTTTACATTTACATTCGTCATTTGCATCTTTTTTTTTTCTCAGTTCCCATATAAGACTTATCAGTCAGTAGTTCTTTACTGATAACATTTTCTATCTATCTTACTTTTTTTTGTTGC